TACTTACTTTAAATATATTCTTTTCCTGAATTGATGTTTTTAAGACTTAGATACATATGTTTTAAAACTGAACTTTAAAATATCTATTTTAAATATAGCATCACTTGCCCTAAATAGAAGATATTTTAAAAAACAAATTCCATAAAAACAGTATTATTAAATTTTGGATAGAAATCGCTGCCTGCAAAGACGTCAGGCTTGAGATTCGCTTTCTTTTTGTTAAAAAGGGAGATTAGCAAGTGCTAGAGAGGCGTTGAATATGGACTAGTGCCAAACTGAGACTTACTCCTTGGTAAATTCAGGATAAAAAGAGAATTGAAAATGGAATCACTTCTATACTTTTTTTTTTCCTGAAACAGGTGTCTCTCTATGTTGCCCAGGCTAGGCTTGAACTCCTGGACTCAAGCAATCCTCCTTCTTCAGCCTCCTGAGTAAGCTGGGACTACAGGTGCAGGCCACCATCCTGGCCCCACTGCTATACTTAAGTGATTCTTTAATGCCATGGTCTTTGACCACAGGTGTTATAGCCCACATTTTGAAAACTGAAGTGATACAAAGAGTGCAGAACCACAGGGAGACTGGGTTTGAGCTCCACTTGTGAGCACCTAAATTTGTTTTGTTTGACGAGTCATTTTTCTACACCCTACTTACCCTCCCTTTCCCAGTCTCATTTTTCTTATTATAAAATGAGAAACTTGATCATTTTACTCTCAAAGAGTTTGTGATTTTTTTATGTTGTACCTTTACCACCATTTACTTTCTAAACTTTCATTCATTCAACAAAATGTTTTGAGCCTGTACCAGGAGCAAAGCATTGGGATTAAGGCCACAAAGAAACAGTCCATGCCCTCATGAAGTTTAGGATGTTTCTTTCCCCTTTAGCATTCTTCCCCCTTTTTAAACTACAACGAGTTGAATATCTACCTCATGTATCTCAAAAGACTTAATAAAACAAAAGATAAGTGCAGCTTAAAGCATATTTAAACGCAGAGCTTTTAATAAAGCCCCCACTCCTGCCACGCCGCACAGCCACGGTGGAGTGCAGTGGCAGTTTCCCAGAAGCCCACTAGAGGGCGCGCACATTTTTTGATTCCCAAAGAAAGCGCTTATGTGGGTATTACCCCTGAAGTTTGGAGTTGGTGTCTCCTCTCCCCACTTTCTCTTAAACGTGGGGCAAGAGTGGCGAGCCCTCAGGTTCTCTCACTTCCACCTACCCACCCCTTACCCTATGCAGTGACGACTCCTCTGCCACAACGAAGAATTATTCTGTTCACACAACCACAACAGTTTCGTTTCTGTTTCCAGCATTTGTCCTTTTGACATTTTAGAAGAAATAAGATCCAAGTTTGATGTTGAAAAGAAAGCACTGATTTCTTTAGTGAGAGGATTTATCCTCCCTTCTCCTGTTCTCCCTAGCTGTGGGGGAGATGTTCCTTCAAGGAGTTAGAGCAGTTCCTTTGAGCTAAAGAAGATCTTCCTGGGGAATAACAGGGACCCTTCTGAGCAGATCTTTTGGAGCTGACATTAGCCCTCCTGCCCTGCAGCACGTGGAGTTATTGAGGTCCAGTCTTTTCCTCTGAGTTTTATGTTCTGAGTTGACAAGCTCTTGTCCTCAAATATTGGAGAATACACCCCCAGACCAACCCTCTCCACAAACCATGATCCAAGGGAAACATCCAGTAGTCTCCCCAAGTTCTTTGCTTGGTGGGTTGCCCTAGAAGCTTAGTTCTCAGCCTTTATTTGATTCCAAAGTTCCCTTACCTCCAAACATCCATTCTGCGCTTTTCTTGGGATTCACCAACACATTAATGAAATAAATTTTAAATATGCCTTATTATACATGGATATGAAATTTCCTTTTGGATGAGCTTTTCTCCAGTTAACACAGGAAGATTGGGAACATGGTTTGAGCAAAAAGAAAGAAGGATTGGGCCTTGCTCACCCCTCACCCCCTTTCTGTGAACCTCAGCCAGCCCTCCCTTTAAGGAAATGAACAACTTTTTTTTTAATGAAAAGTGTCAGAAGTCTGCTTTATGCAAATACGCTACTCAAGAAGCCTTTAGGGGAGAGTTATTTATATCCCATAGGCATTACACATGCGAAAGGTGAAACTGTGAATCTCTGAATTTCCAGGAGTGGATGTTCTCAGGATGAGCACATCCTTGCAGTTAGCTATTTTGGTGACACACAATTCCCATATCTCACTGTTAGATTTTTCCAGGCAGGAGATGACATTTAGTAATTTTAGAATGACCCTGGATGTTTCTCTCCAATGGGACTTCATGACCTGAACTTATTCTGGGCATCAGATTTACTACCACCTTGGACTCTCTAGTAATAGGTGTATTTGTTTTCTTTTTCTCCTAAATAGGTACAGAACTCAGTCATTAAAAAGTAATCGTGTGGCACATTTATTGCTCTTTCATTTTCATATTGACTCCTGGAACTGGCATGGAAAATTGTCATTTCTCTAGAAATTATTGCCCTGCTCTGTTGCGGGCTCCCCAGAAGTAGAGACCATTCTCCAAATTGAAATATACATTAATCACTTCAGGAAATTGCTTCCTCCATTGGAAACTGATAGCTCTCCTCGGAATGTTTCCATGGCACAGCTGATGACAATTACGATTCACTGAAATTTCAGTTTTCTTTGATTGTGACATAAAAACTGGGACATAAATTAAAACCTAATTATCCTTTAAGGGTAATTGGGGTTATAAAACCAAGAGACTGTGAGTCAGTGTGTCGATATTGTAGGAGTGCAGTGCCTGCTGGAATAGTGTGTGTTCTGTCCCCAAAGCAGCCTTTCATATGAAATGGTTTCAGATAAGGTAATCTGTGCACCGGGGGTGCCAAGAGAGCAAGCACATCAGGCTCAGTGACAGATTTGGAGAAACATAGTTAGCTTCTAGGACATCTTGGAACAATTAAAGTATGCTGAAACTGCGATGAGAAGCGGGTAGAACAAAGACCTGGCTTTCACCTGTGAAGGTGCCCCATTGTAGAAAGAGGAATTCATGCCAAGACTCCAGCCAGTACCTGGCTCTCCCAACTTGCAAGAGAAGGTTCTTTCTCATCTGGGAGACAGGTGAGGTCAGCTCTTTTCTTCCATACAATCTACATCATCAAAGTCCCTTAGAGGAAGATGTACTTTGTGTTTGACAAAGGGCATAATCTATAAAAGCTGCAGAAAAAAAAAGAAAAAAGATTTTTGGTAAATCAAGTCATGATTCAAGTGCGCGAGGACGGTTTGTTAGAGGAAGCCATGGATTGATTATTCTCCTGCAGATGCCTACTGGGCCACCTCTTGATGAAGCTGCTTTGTATACACTTCAGGTCAAATCTTAGTCTCTGACACTTCCCAACTGTATACCCCAAAGCCTCTCCTGACCCAATCCATCTCCTCCATTCTGGATTTTCAAAAAGATTTCACTCCCCTGTCTTCCCAGAGAATTTGTCACTCCCTCCCGCTGTTTACTGTTCATAGTTTTAAAAGAGCACATACATGACAGTAACATTTTCCTTGCTGATTCTGCCACTCAGCTGAAAGTCCCTGGGGGGGCTTGACCGTATCTTATTCCTCTTTGTTTCTCTAGAGATCTGTGTAGTTGGGCACATAGTAGGCACTCACAAAATGATGCTGAATAATGCACCGTGGAAACAACATGATTCCAGACTTCTACCTTTTATTTCTGGAAGGTAAATATTGCTACAATGTATTAACCACACAGAAGACTTGACCAAACCCAACCCCCTTTCAAAACCAAACAGGTTTTCTTGCGAGGGTACCAACCTCTACAGACAAATTTCAGGCTACAGGACATTTTAAAGAGCCAGAGAAGGGTTTCTAACAGACCTCTATTTTCAGTTTGTGTGTCAGTCCCCTGAGAATCACAAGGAAAATAATGCAAGGGCCAGGTTATTTCCCCCATCCCTGGGAAACCAGGCCTGGAGAGATATCTTTGGAGGGTGGTATGTCTGCTCTGGGCTTTTGCAACCTTATTTCATAATCCACTTTCTTATCTACTGCTTCGCAAAACCAAAACCAAAGAGAAATAGGTACAAACTGTATCAACAAAAGATCAGAACTTAATTCTCAATGGCAAAGGCAAGTGTACATTATAAATAGCTAAACAGCTGGCTTGGACCATGTTGCCGGCCACTCACCCAGTTGAGGGATTTGAATGACATCATAACCCTTGAGAGGGTATTGCTAGCCAGCTGGTGTTATTTAGAATACACAAAATTTGGAGAAAGAAAACACACACACACACACACACACACACACACACGCAGAGATTCAAGTTTTGCAGAAAAATATGACAATGGAAAAATAGTTTGTCCCTCAGGTGCCGCCAGGGGGCTGGCGTGTGGGTGGTGATAGGTAGCCCAGTAAAAGAATGAAAAAAAAAGATTTTATTTTTTAGTTGGTTTTATAGATCAGCATTGTCTTTGCCTCCTTGTAGGCAAAAAAGTCTGAGACCTGACAGTGTCCTGACAGGAGCCGATGCAATGCTGCCTGCCCCTCCTGTAGGTTCAGAGAATGAGATTACTCCCCTCACCCAGCAACTAGGACAAGGGGTCGGTCACCCGAGCGTTTCCAACCTACTTTAACCCAGCCACTTGGGGGTTAAAATTGTAGGGTTTGCTGGAGATGGTCTTTTCTTCCTTACTTTTTTTTTTCTTAATTTTGCGTTTGCTCTAGAATGTAAAATTGCTCACCCATCCCCCGTGTATATTACTTTCTTCCCGGTAAGGTGTATTAGCAGACGTGTGTGTCTTTATGCCCAGTAGAAAGTTAATCAGGGAACAGATCCTTATTTTCTATGGCAGCATAAGTATTTTAATGTCTCCTAACCCTGTCACTAACACACATTCTTTTAAGGGAAAAAAATGCTTCTGTGCTCTAGTTTTAAAATGCAAAGGTATGATGTTATTTGTCACCATGCCCAAAAAAGTCCTTAGTCGATAACTTTGCCAGAAGAGGGAGAGAGAGAGAAGGCAAATGTTCCCCCAGCTGTTTCCTGTCTACAGTGTCTGTGTTTTGTAGATAAATGTGAGGATTTTCTCTAAATCCCTCTTCTGTTTGCTAAATCTCACTGTCACTGCTAAATTCAGAGCAGATAGAGCCTGCGCAATGGAATAAAGTCCTCAAAATTGAAATGTGACATTGCTCTCAACATCTCCCATCTCTCTGGATTTCATTCTGCTTCATTATTCCTGCTAACCAATTCATTTCCAGACTTTGTACTTCAGAAGCAATGGGGAAAATCAGCAGTCTTCCAACCCAATTATTTAAGTGCTGCTTTTGTGATTTCTTGAAGGTAAATATTTCTTACTCTTTGAAGTCATTGGGGAATTTTATTTAAATTGTTTACTGTTTGCTTCTGCCTAGAACTGTTATTCACTTTAAAATTTTTCATTGTTTCAGAACTGGGAGTTATTTATAAATTGCTGAATATGCAATTCTGTGAGATCTGAAAAAATATCTGGGGAGATGGATGCATTTGCACAGATATCTGTATGAGTAGAAACTATTGCAAGGTACTTATGCTAAATCCTCCACTTCTGCAGGGCTTCCGTGGTGTTATTATAGAAGATTCCTTTAAATCCTGTCTATAGCTGAGGGATATAGAGCATGGATATGAACTTTGGGATTTTTTTTCTTTTGCAGGTGCAGATGTTTTATTTTTAAGACCATGTTCATGTGTATGCATATGTGTGTGTATGTGTATGTGTGTGTGTGTGTGTGTGTGTGTGTGTGTAACTTGTCCGGATTTTATTTATAAGGCATGCTACATACAAAGAGTTACATTTTAGATGATATTAAAGCTTTTAAATATGATCCTTGGAGCTAAGGTCCCGGAACTCTACGCTTATGCCCAGAGAGTTAGAGTGAAGTTTAATTTGTTCTTCCGAAAAAGAACTCCTTGACAATTCTTGCTGACCTTGCATATTAGTATAATTTAAACAAATGTGTACTGTATATGGAAAGCAGAAACTTTCTAGCAGCTGTTTGCCCAACTTTTCTCTTCTGAAGAGGACTTTCATGAGTGAAGTTTGAACTTAGGGTTTTGTGTTGTAAAACTCTGATTTTATACTCAGTGTTGTAAAGTCTCTTTAGGTAAATCTGACTGCTGTTGTCAATGCACCAACTTCTCGTTTCTGATCACTGGCCATAGTTCTAGTTTCCATTCTCAGCAGAATTATATCCTTCAAGACTTGTGTTTTTTTTTCAATTTGCACGCACTTTTAAGCCCTGTCACTGGCTCCACGGATGCAACTGCCTGAGGGCTCAATTCATAAAACGCCTCTGCCACTTAGTGCAGCATTCATTCGCTGCTTTCAATCACTGCACCACTAGGACTTTTCTTAGTCAAGTAAGTGGCTTAGGAGTTAAGGATATCCCCTTGCCAGGCACCTGATTCTGCTGTTTCTGAGATGCCCACACATGCTAGCCACCTTGCTTTAAAAGGGATGAAGTCAATATGCATATGTACTATGTGGTCTGGCAGCTGGGGTTTTTGTCTCCCTACTTAGATGATCATAAAAGAGGCTGTAGAATATTATCCCTGAATCAATTACAAGTTTAGAAAATTGTCTCCAAATTCACTTTTCATGCTGTGTATGTATGCTGAACATTTCAGAAGTGGAGCTAGTAATAAGTTGTTACTTTCGCCTGGCTTGAAGCAGGAAGTGGTTTGAGGGAGCTGCATGGTCTTTTGAACTTAATTCAGTGAGCAAAGGTGTCCTGCCTAGGGGCAGAACTATCAAGCCGGTTGTACTCTGAGTCTCAAGGTATTTCCAAGGGAGTGAGGGTGGGGGAAGGGAGAAAGAGAGCCCACTGGAGCTTGGGTCACTATTCTGGGTGGCTACAATAGGCACACTATGGATATTGGTGGCTTGATTGGGGGGGAAAGATTGATTTAAATCCCAGCCGTGCAATTTGTTCATTGTTTGAATGGACAAAAGGCAGTTTACCCAGGCTCATAGAATACCTGCCTGGGTGTCCAAATGTAACTAGATGCTTTCACAAACCCCACCCACAAAGCAGCACATGTTTTTAAGTCCTCAGTTTTCTATCCACATCAGCCTCATAATACCCACCCTGACCTGCTGTAAAAGACCTGGAACAAACAAAAATGATTACACCTACAGTGAGTATTTTCTTATGACTCTTGCCCTCAAATTTTACTGGGCATTTTCATTGTAGTCCAGACATCTGGAATCAATTGATATTCCATTTATTTAAGATAAATAAGAAAAGTCTTTTAAAATTGGGATTTGTGAATGATTTTTAAGGAAAAGTGTTATGAATCTTTTTTCTTTTTTCTCTTCTCTTTCTGATTCTTCCTTCTTTTCTCTCTATCATATCTTTCCTTTCTCTCTATTCATTTCTTTTGTTTTTGGCAAAATAAAAGGCCAAGGAAATGATGAACATATGGGGCCACTTGTTTTACACTTTTAACTCCTCAGCAAGTTCATTATTGTTTTCTTTTTTGGGGAACATAATGTGATAAATTCTGTGGTTCTCTGTGGGTGTACTGGACTGTTCCTTAAACTAAAGGAAAATGCACTAGAGGTTCTATCTTGTCCTAGAACTATAAGTACTGATATTTATCTGACATACAACTCAGAAAAGAAACAAAGAAAGGAAGGAAGGAAAAAGAGAAAGAAAAAGAAAAATCTATTAAAAATCTATTAAAAAATCTTAAGTTCTTACATGCTAGAGATTAATATGTATTGCTGGACTTAAATGTGTTATACCAGAAATAGCTATTAAAAATATAGTTTTGACATCTAATGAAGTTCTAAATTCACTAGGGCTATAATTTGAGTATCCTACCCCCATCTCCCCCGGATTTCACAAAAACTGAAGAATTTGATGGCATCTACAGTGGCAGGTGCTTAGTCTTCAGCAATACTATAAACTCAACAAAGAAGGCAGGGGTGGAGAAATAGGATTGTTGAATAGTATATATTTTCTAGGACTAGCGCATTGCCAGAGTGTGGGGATATAGTCTATAACATCAATTATGGGTTTATTCTTTTGAAAAGGGCCATGAAGTCCACTTGGGTTGGATTTATTGATAACCATTGGAAATATTAAAGGGGAAAATCCCCCATTACTTCTTTAACTAAGAAAAATGAGGACTGGATGATAACTTGCTGCTAGCAGTCCCAGTATCTTTGGCTATGTGGGCGTGGAGGGTTTCCATGCAGAGGTCCTCTTGAGAAAACATAAAAAATGTTCAGCTGAGCTTTTACCTCTCCTATTTTATGTCCATTATTTATGATGATTTGCAAATAGAGGGCGCTTTTTCATCTTCAACTGTTTTACAAGCATTAACTAAATATTTATGTTGTGTTAACGAGAGTCAGGGGTTTGGAGGTTTTTTTGTGGGCTTTTCCCCCCCAATTGCTGGGCTGAAGATCTGGACACAAAACTGGAAATCTTAATTAGAAGGATGGAGGAAACTTCTGCCACTGATGCAGAACCATTAAGTTGAGAGTTCATGGAGGGCAAGGAGGGTGGTCAGAAAATAACGGAGTCTGTTTCTCCAAAAGTGATGAGGTTGAATGGACCTGCCACTACTGTGAAGTTCAAAAGAGCCTCTTTTTATAACTTCCAGTGTAACTTCCGAGACCATTTTAATAGGGTCCCTCACCTAACATCCTGCTGGTGGCCCTTCCAATGCTGTTGAACGATGCAGCTGAAAGAGGTGAAGCTACTCATCTTGGGAGGCTGCCTGGAAGAAACCACATCTTTGTGCCACGAGTGGCAATATGGAAAAATTTAATGATCACCTTAGCGCTGTTTCTACTACTTAGAGGACGGTGACTTGAGCCACAGGAATCCTGCTTTGGCAAGGCTGTCATTTGGCTGTCTGTCATGACTAAGTCATGCCAATCAGGGGTCCCTCGGTATATTTTGCTATAAAATGGATACAGTGACACATAAGTCCCTCCAGTCCAGGAGATGAAGTCAGAATTCCTGTGACTATTTAAAAAAAAGGCTTTTGTAGGTTTTGAGTCCAGTGTACAAGGAAGGGACTCTACACATATGTGTTAATTTGATACTGGATTAGAGGCAAGGGGCTTTAGAATGCAGAAGTAGTATCTACTTAGCATGAGCCAATTTCATTCCTAAATTCTCACATTTTTCCTGTATCTGTTTTTATTTTCTTTCATTTGTGGTTGTGTTAACTGCTGATATACCCCAGGTAAGAAATCTCTCTCTCTTTTTCTCTCTCTCTCTCCCCCTAAATGAAAGGAAAAAAAAAACCTCTAACAGTATATAGTATTTTAACAGTCTTTTTGTTTGGCCACAGTAAATTCTTTTTAGTCAGTAGGCAGGAAATGATGTTCTGGTTAATTTAATATTCTGGTCAATAATGAACACATATGCCATCTGTGGATTGCCAGTTTTTAGAGAATTTAAATTAACAAAACTTATTTGGCCCCAAATCTGTACTTAGCACAGTTTAACCTTTGATAATTCAAAAGTGTCACCTGGATCTCCGAGTGGTGTGGGATCTCGCTATAACAATAGCATCCTTCATATACACGGTAAATGTCTCTAGATATTTTATCTTAATTGAAATAGGAACCCATAAAGAAGGGCTTCAGGGTGGATTTCTCTAAGGGTCCACAGCATCAAGGGGATTAAACACAGGTTGTTTGATGCCAAGATATGCTCAGCCCGCTACCCCCACTGGTCTCTCGTGCACTTCGTTGCACTTCTGTGCCAGGCAGTTCTGGTGAATGACGGTAATGGAATACTGGGAGTAAATGCACCCCATCCCGTCCCCTCTCCCCTTGCAAGGACCAAGGAGGAAGGCTGACCCTCTTCTGTTTCTCCGGCAGGTAAAGATGCACATCACATCCTCCTCGCATCTCCTCTACCTGGCCCTGTGCTTACTCACCTTCACCAGCTCCGCCGCAGCTGGACCCGAGACGCTGTGCGGGGCTGAGCTGGTGGATGCTCTTCAGTTCGTGTGTGGAGACAGGGGCTTTTATTTCAGTAAGTAGCCCTCCCTCTCACTGCGCTGCTAAAGTCTGAAGTATATGGCTCTGTGGATTTACAACCGCAGGGAGTGTGTGAATAACTGAATGGCTGCCCGAGGCTGGCAGCCGTCCTAGGCCTCCGAGATTCCTCACCTTAAAGTAAGCATAGTGTTTCAGTGGGGCTTTGGCAGGTTTTGCAGATTTAGGATGGAATTTTCCTCCTTAACAGTTTGCCTTTAACTACTTCCTGCTGAGCCTCCCTTCAACTATTATGATCTACCCTCACTATTCTAGTCCTTTCAATGAAAGGATGGTACAAAATGACCCTGGAGTATTGAGGTTTTTGTTTTCAAGACCTATGAGTGCACATGTAAACATATGGAACACATGAAAGGCAGTTTTAAGTGCTATATATTTTGGAATAAAATAGTAAGGACTCTTCAGTCATGTGGGCTTGGGAAAAGAATTAAGGGAATACATCCCAGATGTCCCCATGCAATATGAAATCACCATGAACAGACAGACAGAAGGTGAACTTCACTCAAAGGCATGTCTGGAAATACACAGGCTCTTTCTAAATGCAAACTAAAATGCTGTACTAATTTGCCCTCTATGCAAATTGACCTTGATTTTTTTGTTGTTATTGTTCTTTTTTGGCATAACTCTTGTCTGGGACTCTCTAGTGATATTTCCATCTGGAAAAGGGTCTCTGACAAGTGCAGGATCACCTATCTCATAAGTAGGTCTCAGGTGATTAGAAAGTCAACAGTCAATAAGAAGTAGATAGCCAAGTCAAGGTTTGCAAATGATAAACCAAATAAAATCAATGGTACCTAAGGGAATTAATCACTTAAAGAATCTATGTCACATGCACTTATCTTACTGTATGTTACAGGACAGTGAAAGATTTAAAGCCAGATGCTCATTCTGTATAATTCTTTAGAATTTTAGAGAGTTCCAGGAAACTGAGTATGAATCATTCTTAAAGGTTCATATCACTCAAGTGTAGACAGCTTACCTCAGTTACCCACTAAGCTCTGAATAGCTCCTGTGATGACTCACACATTTGAAATCTCTCTCATCTTCTTCCCAAATGTCAGCCTCTCTCTAGGCAGATAGTATGTGTGTGTGTCTGTGTGTGTGTGAGTCTATTAGTGTATGACTGGGGGTGGGGGGTCCATGTCCAGTATGGAGATGAGTAGGGGAGATGGGAAGGAAGAGGTTTGGGGATGGGGGGGGGGTCTGGTGACCTGCACTTACAGTGGATTTGGCAACAAATAGTTTTAAAATCACTAATGACAGAAAATCAGAAGTGCTTTCTACTATTTGAATAGTCAGATTCCCACTCTGCTTTCAGCTGGTGCTTTAATTGAGTAAATTCATTTTTAATTGAGTAAATTCATATTTTTATGGCACTACATCAATTCTATCCAGTTCTCTGTTGCAAGGCAGAGGAATGAGCACATTGGGTGGGTGCTTTTCCAATAGCAGACTTGTTTTACCTTTAAAACCTCCTGTGGACAGTAACTGTGTGACACCACATGACCCAACAGTGGGTTGTAATTATTCTATAATTTGCTGCTACTGATCCACATTTTTAAAAAATGAAAAAGTGGTTCTCACTTATTATGCCCAAGAGGATTTTTTTTGCCTTGATAATCCATTTGTGCAATTTCCTTTGATCCAGTTCACTAGGTAATTGCCAAGCCTACAAGTGTCCTCTGTAATGTGCCAGGTTAAATTGTGATGTTCAACATGACATGCTTCAGGATTTCCAGGCACTGTGCGTAGAAACGGGATCCTTCTATGCCTGTGATGTTTGCATTAGATGATGAAAAATAAGGTAGAAAGAATGATTTTGGTCCTAAGTAGCTGTATGATACTTATATATGTTCATGCAGACACTTAAGAGTATTGGACAACTATGATAGAAACCTATTTCAAGGCACTGAAATGGTTCTTTTATTCTGTTTCTACAACAATAAAATTTTAGCAAATTTTTAAAAATTCCATTTAATAACTTGAAGGGGGAAAGTTATATAGATAGCAACTCTTGATGTGTAGGGCATGATTTTAGGCAGAAATGGTTTCATAAATCATATATTACTTTCAATACTATTGAGAGTATGTTTCGTATATTCTGCCTTATATTAAATAGAATTCCATGACCTATGTTAATCATAAGTCTGACATAGACACTTATGCACAAAAGTACTCTTGTTAACTTTCTAGTCAACTGGGCAATATTCTTTACTCAAAAGACATTAAGCCATTTAAATTATTTTCATTTATTTCACAACACAGATGGAATATCTGTTATATGTAAGACACTGTACTAGGCATGAAAGGGATACCTAGAAATGAATGAGAGATTGACCTTGCCTTCAAGGAGCTCACAGTTGAGTTGAGTGGTTAAAAATATATATATACACGTAAGTATTATCAAGAGTCATAAGAGAAAAATAACCATGGAGAATAGATTATATCCTTTATGCTTTTCCTGAATATATTGTTTAATTTGTGGCAAATTACCAGGTTCTACCCTCCCATGAATAATGCCCTCTTAATATGCTCCTTGATGCCAAAGGACATGTTTATTTACTTTGAATCCTAGTGTTTAGCTTAGTGGTTGATATAGTAGCTGCTCATATTTGATTGTTGAACTGACAAGACTGAATTGAATTGAATCCAATCGAATTGAACAGAATTACTCGTTTGGAATCTTAGTTTTGACTAAGAACCATGAAGAATTAGTGTTGTCAAGTACTGTGGATAATACTTCTTGCCTCATGTTTACCCAGTTATTTGATAAAGCTTTTTCTTACTTTCAACTAAATATAATACATACTAACAATGACTTAGAGGCTGCATTTTGTTTATCCCAAGCTACATTGATGATCTGTTTTGTGTCTGAGCCAATTATTATTATAGGCATTAATGCTGTCAACAAAGTTTATTGGGTTTCTTTTCTGTCCCCTGAGATTTGCTGTGTATGAAGAAGTCAGCTCTAACCATTTAATGTCTTTGAAATACTTGTTAGAGGGAAGCATTCTTCCCCACCTCATATCCCCTGTCAGTTGGCTCTTATTATTGTTTTTACCCTCATTTTCAAAGGTTTAGTATGGCTGTGCCTTTTATTTTAAGCTTCTTTAAATCCATTTTGGAACTATAGATTTTTTGTTGTTGTTGTTAATAGTGGAAAGTGGTTTCTGATCTTAGTTTGACTCTCAAACATCTAAAATAAAATTGCCTCCCTATCTATCTCTTCTTTTGTCAATACAGAATATTTAACAAACAAAGTTTTTTTTAACCCTATTAGAACTGTTCCAAATGAAAATTTTTGTAATGTTTATTTTGTGTAGCTTGACCCAATGTTGTGAATGAGCTCCTATTTCCCTTCCAGCCCAAATGCCACTAGAGCACAGTGGAAGCAACCTTCTATATTATCTGTCTCATGAATATCTTCCCAGCATAAGTGGAAGAGTTCAAGTATAATTAATGCAGCTTCCTCAGACATTTTATGAAATAAAAGATCCAATGAAGAGCTAATTACTGATTCTTCCCTATACATCAGAGTAAGAGAGTTTATCAACCAGCCTTCTGCTCTTATTGTCCTGTGAGAAAAATGGTGGCATAGTGGAGGTGAAAGCACATCAGGGGAAAAAGCTAGCTATTATAACCTAATTTTGCATGAAACACAGCAAGAGGAAAAGAGCTTCAAGTGAAATAGGAGAAGTTAAGCTTGCCATAGATATAATTTTTGACAATCATGGTGATTAACCATTTTAACATGCCGTTATGGGCTTGTGGAATTTCTCTCCTTGGAGATACTTAAAAAATTGACAGACAACCAACCATCTTGGATGGTTTCAATTAAGAGCAACCAAAAGAAAAAGTTTCTGGGGTCTTTTTTAGTTTTAAGAGTCTATAAACAGTCCCTTAAATAAACTGTATATGCTTTACCTTGGCGGTCTGGGAAAAAGGAGAAGTAAATCAATTAGAAAAGAAAGTTGGATACCCTTTCAGCTATTCTAGATTTATAGCTTTTGTAAAACATACTCCCAATGTATAGTTATTAAGAACAGGTCTGGATAAACAAATGGCATTCTTCATGTGTTAAAATGTGCTGTTTTGTAAAGAGTTTAAGTGAAACTTTGCAATTAACTTTCATTGTTATTGATTGCAACAACCTTCCTAGATCTAGGTTATTATTATTAACTTAAGCTTCTTTCCTTTGATATATAATTCTCAGAAAACTGCTCCTAGACCTGTCATTCATTAGCTGTATGACTGTGGCAGACATTTAAACTTCTTGGGCTGAAATGTCCTTGTCTATAAAACAAGGGGATTTTGTTAAAGTAAATGACCTCTTCTAACTTTAACAGACTCATAGTCTAGGTTATAATTAACAAGGCTTTGGTGCTATTGAAGAAAGGAGAACCTTGGACTTAAGTAGTGACCAAAGAACATTCAGTCTCCTTTATCTTATTTACATAGTTTCTGTCAGTCCCCAAAGATAGGAGATTCTACCCACTGAAAGAAAGAGGAGCCAGCTTCTCTGTTTTGTTTTGTTTTAAGCTGGATTTCAACCCCTCAAGGATGGATAGAAACTCAGATATGACCAAATACATGCAGGTCATTTGTACCAAAGGAGCCAAAGGAGCACATGCCTCTTGAAAACAGACTACCACTCTTCTTTGCTAGGAATGGCCAGCTGACAGTTCTCATCTTTACATTTTCTCACTCTCTTGGCTGTGAGGACAAGTGAGTAGGTTTGTTCTTAGCTATCCTAAAAAAAGGAGGATAAATTTCAGGAGACAAATAAGAATATATAGGTTTCTAAACCTTCACCAAAAGCCTTTCCCCAACCTATTGATATTGACTTTTCAATTAAAGAAGAGAGTGCACAATTTGGGGCATTCAAAGACACACTTACCTGCCATTAGCACTGTTTTGAGTGGGGCTGGAGTTGAGCTGTGCTGCTTGCATTCCTCTGCTGGATTCTCCTTAGACCAC